ACTAAGAACCGTCTACCCCACTCATTACTGCTAAATGTCTAGGGAAGGTCAATTCACCCAATAGCTATTTCCCTCAGTTGCCAGTGGCTACCCTCTTTTCTATACTTTTGGATAGTTCTGCAACTCCCTTCCTGAAGACATACAAAGATCCTTGTCCTCACCACTCTTAATCTGGATGATTAGCTTCCATTTAAAGATATGGTAACATCCTGGCATGCTTCAGAGAGAGCAAGTCACAAACTTTAATTGTGATTTTAAAAAATCACAACCTGGCAGGGCCGAGGTTTTCTTTCTGTCTGCCTCAATGTTCCTTAGCCTGTTTGGGTTTCTCTCGAGATTTGTAACCTTGAGTCTGAATTTCTTGGATGTGCACGACCAGTTTTGGGGTGTTGTTCTGCAGTGCTGATAGGGTTCCTTCACCTTCCTATAGTCTCTGTCTGGGAACTTAAATTGGCTTGTTCACACTCTTTTTCAGATGTGTTGAGATTCCACCCCTTCCTGCCCTGGGCAGAGGTATAACAGGACAGCTCAGTGCCCTGGGAAGCAGCAGTACATGGGGCAGTGACAACTGCTGTGCTGCCAGCTGGTAGTTTTGGCAGCTGTTATTTTTGCATTCCCCCGAAGCTGGCACCCAGGGCTGCTGCTTTGGGTATCTCCCTTAGTTATACTACTAGCCCCTTGCATTCAGCCTCTGTTTGTTAACCTCTCACAGCAGCATCTGAATGTGGCATGGCTCTGGGATTTAGTGCAGAAGGGAAGGCTCCCCAGCACACAGCAATTTCCTCCCCCTGCATGTGGGCAGCAACCCCCACCCCCTGTCCCCCACCTCTGTTTTGCACTGCTCCCTTGTTCCTGGGCTCATGGGTGGGAGAAGGGATTGTTTGGTTCCAGGCTGCAATTCTGGTCATGCTCCCCCCTCCCCAGAGAGATGAGCTAGAGTAGCACAGCAGTGCCTGAGAGCTGTTTATTGGCTCCTTTATCCCAACTGGACTGAGTGGGGAGTCCTTGACTTGATATTTGGTTCCATTTGACTAATTAACACTCCATAACCAGCTTTGCAGGTCACTGGCTGTGCTGGGACAGCTGGCATACAGCATGAGCTGGATATGCTCTCAGCAGGCAGGGCTTCTGCAGGCAGCTTGCTGGGCTTGCCTTACTGACTGCTCAGGGTGGAATCACAGGGCCCAGGGGTCCAAGCCAGGTGAGTTAGGAGCTAGTTAGGAGATCAGGGAGGGGCAGGTCACCTGAACTCTCATCCCATAAAGGAATAAGGAAAACACAAGCTAGAAGGAGAGAGGAGTCTTGCTGTTTTGTGAATCCTGGGCTCCCCACCCTGGGCTCATCTTGCTGTTACAGATATTCCCCTGCTTTCTTATTTCCTTGAACTTCCATACCTGGCCCATGGGGGCATGCCTGCACTTTAATACCAGTGCACAGCCCTTGTATTCACCTGTAGTCCTTGGTTATGGTACTAATGCTTCAGTCCGTTCAAGCCCCAGAGATGGCATCCTGGGTGTCTAAGTGGCTTTATTTGGTTGCCTACATGGTATTTTTGGAATTTATGCATACGTAGGAATGCTGTTCCTGGACACACAAGCCTGCGTATCTAGACAACTACATATGCATGCAGATTGGGCATGTATTGTAAGCTATGCACATGTAGTAACACCTACAAGTAGGTTCCAGGTCCTCCCTCACCCAGAGAGGGGTCTGACCTCAGGTCTTTTTGACTTCCTGGCTTAGTGCTCTGGCCACCCTGCCACAGGTTGGACCCTGGAGCCTTCCTCCCGGTGGCACAGAATCTTCTCTCCAATGCACTGCTCACCAGCCATTTATTTTTCCTGTTGACTATGGTAAACATGAAAGGACTTTGCAAAGCCTGATTTGTGATGTGGGGGTTCGAGCACTGCTGAGAAGTTGAAGAGATCCAGGTTCAAATCATGTTGAGTGAGGGGATGGGCTTAGAGCCTAGGCCTCTGGCTTCCCAGTTGAATGCCCAAGCCACTCAGTTCTCAGGGATAAAAAATAGGAGAGCTCTACTTCTCCAGTTTGTTGCCAGTACCTATAGTCATTGATACATGCAGGTCTGTGTGTCCAGGAAAAGCATTCCCACCTGTGCATCACTACCAAAACAACTAACAGAATGCTTCCCCAGGTGCCTCTCCAGGCTTAATTCCCTTGGGCTTCAAAAGTTATCTTTAACTCTTCTTTTGCCCCCTGCCCTTCCAGTGAGCCAGGGAGCTCTCTGCCTGGCACTCTTGCAGGACCAGGCACTGACAAATCTAGCCTGGATGCAGTGCCATCCGTAATCAGCTTGTCAGTGATCCAGTGCCATCTCCCTGTGCAAAGGCTGAATGTACTGTCCCTCACATGCCTCTCTGCTCTGCTGGGGAGAATTAAATGACATCCCACAATGTTGGCTGCTGTTCCACAGCTTTCTGGATCGATCGAAACTTCAGTGCCATGAGACCAGTGTTCCTGAAATGCTAGCTCATGTTGCTGTGAGACTGAATCACTGGTTGATGGTTTTGCCATGTCTAGGGGGAAAGGGAGTTGGGCCCTTCTCTTTGCTGCTCTGTGGAAGATATTTATGTTGTTGCAACTCCCAGCTTCCAAGCCTCGGCTTTCTAACTCCAGCACGTGCTTCTAGCTCTGGCAGTCCCTGACTCTAGTCTTCATGAGGTAGTTATCATATCTGCAGCTGGGACCACTACCTGAGCACCACTCTCCCTTGAACGGGGTGCAAATTAACCCCAACCCTCTTCAGGTGCTGTCTGTCCTTCAGTTCCTAAATTTCCCTTCCCTGTTTCTTTGCTCTGGGTTATCCTTGGCTTGGAGATCACAGAGCACTTGCAGGAAAAAGGCTCCTCTCTCTGTATCAGTGCTGACCTCCATTTCCCAGCACTGCAAGAGGCCCCACAGTGCTGTGGTAGATGGTTAGAGATATCTCTCTTAGCACTACTGGGGTTTGCAGCCAGGATGCAGATCTCATCGGTTACACCTCTGTTCCAAGGGGGTGGTCTCAGCCTGCCTGTGGCATCTGAGGGGTGCAGTCCCTGGGGGCACCAAGCTTTCCAGTGGGGTGGCTCAGGTCTCTCTCAAATGCCTCCTGGGAATTGTGTTTGCAAAGAGTCCAACTGAGAGGTGGGAGGGCAGAGCTCTGGTGGGATGGTGCTTCTTGGGAGCTGATGGACTCTGATATGCTAAGAATGAATATGGAAGATGGAAGCTTGTCCCAGGTGGTGTGAGAGACACGTCACCCCAGCAAGAGCCAAACAGCGGAGCTGCCACTCCTCTGGTGCAGCCCAGCAGGGTCCTGAGGTGCAGAACATGGCCCCCGCTGGTGTCCAGGAGGTGTTCAGAGCCCTTGTGAATGAGAAGATGATGATATGTCAGTCAGACCCTTGCAACTGCACCTGCATCATGAAGAGTACTTACAGCTGCTGGGTGGGGGCCTGCAGGCAGGGTGGTGTTGGATGGTGCCATGCCCTGGCCACCTGACTCCATTGGTCCTGGAGGACATTGGGGTGTAATCCACACTGGAAGTGCTGCTTTCCATAGCCTCTCATGGCCGGGCTCGAATGTGGCCTGCTTTACACCAGCTGGTCTCACAGACACCTCTCCCACAGCCCAGTGCTGTTCCTAGAAATGTGCTGGTGCCAGGTCCTTGGGCTCCCCTGGGGAGGGAGATGCTCACTGCAGCTATACAAACAGTGCTGGGGGAAGAACAGGTTTCCCAGGCCTGGGGTCAGCTCCAACCATTGGTACTGGAATTTTTTTTTCTCCCCAAAGGAGCAGCCCCTGGTGCCCAGGCAGTGCTGCTTGATGATGATGAATCACTTCAGCAGCTGGCAGCAAGGCTTAGAGCCGTTCCTTTGGGCAGCAGCCCTGTGGGCCAGCTCCTGCAGCTGCCCGAGGTCCGTGGGTGGAGCTGGGAGTGCACTGGGGTTTCTCAGCAGCCAGAGTCGGGGGGACCGCGCTGGGGGCTGCTGAGGCCTTCTCTAATTGTCTATCACTGATGGTGCCTCCTTCAGGTTTCTATGCTCCTACTCTGTTGCTGCCTGTCAGCCCCAGAAAGACCAGGCCCTTGCAGGACTCGCGTCCAGACCTTCCTAAGTGTGGAGAGTGGACCGGCCCCCTAGGAGACTCCAGGCCCTGGGGCTGCTTCCTTGGGAGACAGTTGCATATCCTGATCTCACTGGTGGGAGCAGAAGTGTAACCGATGAGATCTGCATCCTGGCTGCAAACCCCAGTAGTGCTAAGGGAGATACCATTGCTGCCGGGGGGAAGCGTCAGCATGACACTGTCAGCAGCTGGGGGGACAATGTCCCCTACAGCTTCCTCCGTGGCCCAGTGCCCCCAAATCTCATTGCCACTGGATGATGGCAGCATGAAATTTGGTAGCTCCCACCCTTGAGCTGGCCTCATCCCTGCCCCGAGTGCTGCTCCAACTCCCATCACTGGTGCCCCTTTTACTTCAACACTTGGGGCTTGTGCCCTGGCCACCCACTGCTAATTATACTTCTGGGTGGGAGACAACTCCTGCTGTCCAATCTGGACCCTTCCTTCCTCCTTTTCCCCTTGCTGATCCTCATCACAGGCATGTGCTTCCTGCTACTAGGCTTCCCTCCAGGGGCCAGCACCAGACATACTGGTCGGACCCTGACTGACTCCCTCTTTGCTCCCGGGTCCCAGGGTGTGGGCAAACGGAGGACCTGGAACTGGGTGCCCAGACTGAGAAAGTGCTGTTTCTTGCCAGCCCTCCTGAGGCTGCTGATGTAAGGCTGTTTACATGTTGTCCTGAGCCCCCATGGGCTCAATGTAACAGTACCAGCTTTGCCAGGAGCTAAGGAGGTGCACCCATGTGTGCTACCATCCTCAAGGGCACTAGTCAGCCACGCAGCTGCTTCTGGGAAAGGAACAGGCTAAAAATGGCCCCTGTGCCCTGTTGTAGGACCCTTGCACCAGATTGGAGAGTATGAGGGTCCTGGAGGGGGAGGGAGGAGGGGCACGGGCAAAGACCCAAGAAAATCCAAAGGTTTAAAATAAGACAAGCCCAAATCAGGCTAGAAACAAGGGGCATGTTTTAGCAGTGTGGGTGATGAGTGGCTGGGGCTGGGGTTGGGGCAAGGTCTCTGTTGTTGGCACATCTCAACCAAAAAGGGATGTTTTCCTAAGTGGTGTGTGGTATCTGGACCAGGAATTGAACCCAGGTTAGCCACTTCCAAAGCCACTGCTGGTGTCTTAGACTTGGTAGAAAGCCAGGACAACCCCTAAATTTGAGTGCTCAGAGGTCTTGTGGCTTCTGCTCCATCTCGGTGTTCTCCCCTGCCTCCGTGCTGCGTTGTGTGCAAGGGCAGGCTGTGTGGGCTGCTATTGATGTGTTTGATCAGATTAAATTGGGGGAGCTTCCTTAAAATATTCATGGGCTTCTTCCTTGCCAGCACAGAGCACTCCACAGTGTGTTTCAAAGCCAGCACTGTGTGGCACAGCCCTACCTGGGGCTGATCCGCTTCCCGACTTTATACTGCTTGTGTGATGTAGAAAGAGCAGCTCCCAGCTGGGTTTGCCTCAGCGTGGATCCTGCCAGCTCAGTTTCGAAGAGGCTGCTTTGTAGCTGCTGCCTGAATACTGTTAAGGTTCCCCCAAATCTCCAGAGCGCTTGGAGTCTGGCTGTGGCATTGGGGGCCCTGCCAGCTGCTAAAAGGAAGTGGTGGGGATTACCAGGATGGGCAATTAGTGAAATGGGTGGTGGCAGCCTAAGCTAGGCTGCCCATTGAGCCCAGCTCTGCTCGGCAGTCTCTGCCAGCCCATTTCATCTCCAGGGGTTTAAATGGTGCCAGGTATCTCTGTGGGAGCTGCCATTTTGCCCGCACTTCCAGCCTGAAGATGCAGGGCCCAGAAATGTGGCTCATGCTGGAATAACCGGGGCAGGAGAGGGCAGAGGCTTCAAACCAGGGCTAGAGGGCAGAAGGCTTGGTGGAAGCACTACCTTTCCATGCAGGCAGGCAGTCAGGAGCAGCATTTTTCAGGCTGCAGAGCATATGTTTGTGGCGGAAGCAGCCTCAGGCCACCTGGCAGCTCAAGTCACAAGTTGTAGGCTGAGCTCTTTGGACAGAACCTTTCTCTTTAAATTAAATCCCAGAAACTTGAGGGCAGCAGGGAGAAATGGGCTCTGCTCCCCACCTTGGACAGCTCTGGGGGCTCCTTACTCCAGGCAGGGTTGACAGTCCCATGCCTTCCTTTGGGGAGCCTTGCCCACAGCCCTGTGGTGCTCCCCTGCTAGAAATTGTTTCCCGATGCTTGGCTTGTCGTTTTGCTGGTTGGTTTCTGTTGCGAGTTGCACCCTGTGTGATCCCATTCCTCCTGTGGGGTTTCTCCTGTCCAGGTACTTCAGGGTTGTGTTTGTTCTGCTTCTCCTCCCATGCAGGTGCCCAAGTGCTGTGGATTTATTCTGTTGCCTTTTCCTCTTGGTTTGGTCTTGGTCATGCTGCTGAGCCTTGGGCCCTGGAATGGAGCGGGATGGGGTAACAAGGCTGTGTTCCTGCCCCAGCCCCCTGGAGGAGAACTGGCACTATCTGTTGGCACAGTGACTGGGAAGGTGCTGGGCATTGCATAGCCAGGGTAGCTACCAGCCTGAACTTTCTCTTTTCCATCACTTGTAGCCATGCCCATGCCTTACATGCCAGTGGCATAGAGTCTTGTTAAGCCATTGTCAAAGTTAGGGCAGGCTGCTGCAGTACATGACAGTGCCCTCAAAGGCAAGGGATAGGCATGGCCTGCAGGCCCCCAACAACTGTGTGGTGGAGGATGATTCATTAGGGAATGTGTGTCCTGGAACATGGCTCTGCAAGGCAAGGGGCAGCCTGAGTGCCAGACTGGGGCCCAGCGAGCCAGCACAAAGGTTAGGGCAGTGACAGACACTCAGGGCCACATCCCAGATTGCCAGGAGGGGCCTCTACACCATCTAATTACACCTCCCACCTTGGCAGGGACATGCTGTGTTAAGCTGTTGACTTCAGCATCTGGCAAAAGTCAGATGCTGCTTTATCACTGGGAACAACTGCATCAGGATGGCTGACAGGCTCACTGGGGCAGGAGGGGCAGCCCTGGATTTTTTGCCCTTTCTCTGGCTCTACTGTAATGACCCTATGTCTGTTGCTGCTGGGGTCTGGGCAGGAGCCTGATGTCCTAGCTGAGTCATGTCCAGGAGTTAGGGCTGACTAAGGACACCTCTTTACCACTTCCACAATGCTTCTGCAAGTGGTAGCATAACTGGGGGGGAAGCAAATGGAGCACTAGCCGTGGGTGCCAACTGTGAGGGGACACCAGAATCCTCATGAAGTCTTTGCCACGGCAGGGGCAGTTTTGTACTGCTGGCTGTAGGAGCTTCACGTCCAGCAGTGCACCTAGGGGTTGGGGGTTAAGTGGGATGAGCAGAACGGCACTCCTCCCCCCACCCCACCCCTGGGAGATTTTGTCAGAGCAGATGCACCCTGTCTGTGCCCAATAGCATTTGGTAGTGGGGGTGGCAAACAGGGCACCAGGTGTGGCTCCCAGGGAGCCCTTGCCCCAAGGCTGCTGCTACCCAAGCCCACTCTGCTACAGTACCAGCACTGACAGCGGTATCAGCTGCTTTCAGGGTGCAGAGAGCCCAGGCAAGTAAGACTTTGTTTCTTCTTACCCTCCCCTGCAGTGGTTGATTTCTTCCTGCCACTCCCCTGCCCTTACGAGTCGGTCTGCAGGTGCCCTGCACAGCTCTGCACGTCTGTTTCCTTTCCACATGCACCAGACCCAGGAATGAGGCCATGAAGCTTCCCTAAGGGAGTGAGACAGCAGCAGCAGGGTGTGCCCTCAGGGTGGCTTCCCTCCTTCCCTCCAGGGGTTGGCCTGTGTAGAACAAGAGTGGGTGGGTGCCATGTGCTTCTTGTTGGCTCACAGGAGCTCTGTGAAAGTGGCTTGGATGTGGATGCTGGAGAGAGCCACAGGGGCTATTTCCAGCAGCCTCAGCACAGACTCCATTTTCTATTCATCCCAACCCCTGCAGTGGTACGTGTGATGCTGTGGCGGCCTCTTTGCTTCGGCAGCCCCAGGCTGTCCTTGTTCTGTGGAGGAACAGGCTGCAGGGCTGCCAGATGGTGCAGGGTGAGTGGCTGGTTCTTCTCAGGACTGAGCATGGGCCAGGCCCACGGGGGACACTAGAATCACTTTCCTTTGAAGAGTGGCTTTGTTTGGAAAGCTGAGGCTGAGACCACTGCAGCTGCCAACAGTGCCTGGGCCTCAGTGGAGAGCTGGGAACACTGGGCCAGGCGGGGGTGTGGAGGGAGAAAGGCGGCTGACTGTTGTGCGTCCCTTTGGTTGCTCAGAGCAACCAGGAAATGGAGAGAAATGTTCTGGCCACCTGCTGTGTGGTGCCAGCTCAATGCTGGGGACCCTGCCTGCACCCTCTGGGCCCTGCCGCAGGAGGTTCAGGGGAGTGCAATTAAGCTCTGAGGCTTTGTGCTTAGTTCATTGTTTGTTTGTTTGGGGGGGGGGGGGGGGGGGTCAAGGGAGCAGATCAAGCCCCAGACACTTGGGCAGCTTGTTTGAAGCTCTGATTCCTTCCCCAGATGCACCCCCTGGAACAGGGCACGAGAGGGCCAGCTGGGAGCAGCATAGCATGGATGGAGGGTGTAGCTTGTGTCTGCTACCTAATGTCACTGTGGCAGTGTCCCATCTCCCCTTCCCCTCACCAGCTACCTGCTGCTTGTCTGAGAGCTTGAAGCTCGCACAATAGCACCAGCTTCCTTGGAGCATTGGTGATGCTCCCCCCCACCCCAGGCTATGATGGGGCTCCAGGGGCTGTAGCCTTGTATAGAGAATGGTCTTCCCGCAGCTCAGTGGAGAGTTGTCTATCACTGCAATGCAGCCATTATTTCTGGCGTGGAAGATGGCAACAATGGCAGTGATATCTAGAGTGGGGCACCCAACAAGTTGGCAATGGGAGGGTATTTCTAGCAGCCCCTGCACCAAACAGAATGCAGGTGCCCTGCCCTGAGCCCAGCAGATGGAAGACGGTTTCACAATGGGGTTCACGTGCAGCTTTCTGAACTGGCCTGATTGTCCTAGAAGGAAGGACAAAGTCCAGAATGAGACATAGGGCACTGGTGCCCTGCTGCACCCCTGCCCAGAGATGGGGCTTGGAGTTAGGGGTGTGGGGGGACTATGCAGTGACTCTCCTGTTTTCTGTGCAGCTGTGGCTGAGGAGCCAGTGAGCATGGCTGGGAGGGGATGCGACACCATCTACAAAGGCTTTGCCGGGTGCCTGATCAGCCTGGGGGACAGCATGGCCCAGAGTGTTCAGAGGCAGCAGGAGGACAGCGGGCAGGAGGTGCAGGAGCTGGACACCATCTGCAGGTGAGTGTAGCAGGGCTGCCTCAGAGAAGTGCCCATGGCAATAAGGAAGATACCCTCTCTGAATGTTCCTACAGAGCCAGGCAGCATTTGGCCCCATATGCTGAGGTGTTGCAGCATGACACCACCTGGTGCTGTATAAACACAGCTGTACTGCTGCTGGCTACTCCAAGGCAGGAAGCAGTATAGTCATGTTCAGGTGCAGAGCCCAGGCTGGTATGCTCTGTCCATCAGCACAGATAATTAGCCCACTGCCAGAGACCAATTAAGGCAGCTCTCCCAACCAAGCCATAACTGGTGAGGACAACCTCCAGCTCTGGGGAGGGCAGCCGTGGAGCATCTGGGATGGTGTCCTGGGAGGTCCTGGGAGCTGGTCCCTTGAACTGGAGGTGATGTGGCAGGCTGGGACCACAATGGGAGGTAGTTGAGCCCCTCAAGCTAGGGATCAGGGGGCCGAGCCAATGGGAAAGGATGTGGACTCTGCCCTCTGTCTCCCAGCCTGTCTTTGGGTTGGGCTATGAATGAGGGGTAGGCCAGGAGGCAGCAGGGTCTTGCTGTGAGAGGGACCCTGTGCCAGGAGGAGCTGCTGACCCTGAGGGAGTCCATGGCTGATGGGAGAGGGCTGCCTTGCTCACTTGTCTCTCAGGTTCACCCACCAGCAGGGAATAGCCCTCATAGTGTGAGGGATTCTCTGTACAGCAAGGCTGAGATGGTTTTGGGCAAAAGTTCTTTGCTAGCGGATTGGATCCAGCAGGTGTGGCTGGGATCTATGGTCTATAGGAGACCAGCTTGCCTGATGCCAGTGTCCTCTGCCAGCTGTCAAGGCTCTGACCCCTCCCTCTCACTGCTTACAGGTCCTGGGATGACTTTCACACCTGTGCCACTGGGGTCCTGTCCAGCTGCCCTGAGGAGGCCGCTGCCATCTGGGAGTCGCTGCGCCAGAAGTCCAGGAAGATCCAGTTCCAGGGAAACCTGTATGACCTGTGCAGCTCGCGGACCAAGCTGTCCAGCAGTGCCAGGGGCTCGGATACAGATGAGACTAACAAGGAGACCCTGCGTGGCTCAGCCCAGCTCCCCCAGCCTGGGCTCCTGGCCAGCCTACCTCTCCTGGCACTGCTGGCACCCTTTGTCTAGCCAGGGAGCAGCATGGAAGCCCCTTGGTCCAGGCACTTCCCTGCCAGAACCCACCACAGCACAGACTCCTGGTTTAGTGGGGGCTGCTTCCCAGGCCAAGAGCCATCTCTGCAAAATAGATCAAACTTAAAGTCTGAACATCCAGCACAGCGAGGAGTGGAGGCACCACTCCCTGCCACCCATGGGGCATTCCCTAGCCCATTCCAGGCTGTGTTAGTGGCTTTGGGGCAAGGTTCCTTTGGTGGCAGGGACACTGGGTCCCCTGAGGCAAATAAGGATGGGGCCTGAGGCTCTGTATTCCCAGTAATTTTCTTGTTTTTTGGGGTGATGTGGAGTCTGAGTGCTGAGCCTCCCTCAGCCTTGTGTTCATGGAGCTCCCACAGAGAACTGGCCTGATCATAGTTTCATAGTTTGTAGGGTTGGAAGGGACCTTGACAGATCATCAAGTCCGACCCCCTGCCATGGCAGGAAAGAGCACTGGGGTCAAACGACCCCAGCAAGGAGTTCATCTAGCCTCCCCTTAAAGACCCCCAGGGTAGGAGCCAGCGCCACTTCTCTTGGAAGTTGGTTCCAGATCCAGCCACCCTGACTGTGAAGCAGCACCTCCTGATGGTCTAGTCTGAATCTACCCTCTGCCAGCTTGTGACCGTTATTCCTTGTCACTCCTGGTAGTGCTCGGGGGAACAGGGACTCCTCCAATGCCTGCTGGTCCCCCCTGACTAGTTTGTAACAGGCCACTAGATCCCCCCTCAGCCTTCTCTTGTGTAGGTTGCACAAGGTCCAGACCCGTAGCCTCTCCTCGTAGGGCCTGCCCTGCTGCCCCCTGATCATGCGGGTGGCCCTCCTCTGGACCCTCTGAATGCTGTCCAATAAGCCTTTCCCCACACTTCCACCCCTTTCACCCCTGCACCTCAAACTTCCCTGTTTCTGCCACCCCCAGGCCTACCTTCCACTGAATCTTCAGAGATGGGGTTTGCCCAGGGCTCTCTGGAGACCTGCTGCCCCTGATCCTGCTACCGCAGTTCAGCCTTCCTTGCCCCAGAGCTTCCTCCATAGAAAAGCCAATGGGGCCTGAGCCCTGCAAGTGGCTGTGGCAAGGATGTTGAGAATACAGACCTCCCCCTGGAGCTACCAATGCCTTCCAGAGTGATGTCCAGTTGCTCTTTCCCCTTTGATACCTTCCTGCTTCCTACCATGTAGTCTGTGTTCCCTTGTTCACTAAGGGCAGCTGCATGATAAAGGGGACTGTCCTCTCCCGCCATCCCAGTTACCTGGGTGCCATGGCAATTGTCTCCACCCTCCAGAGATGATGGAGCAGCCCTGCAGAGAGAGTCCTGAGTGCCTGTGCGCCCTGAGTTGGAGTGCTGCTCCCTAAGTTGTGATACAAGGCATAGCAAACCCCTGTGTACAGCCAGCTCTGGTCCTCGCAGTGCTGGTGCATATGTCCAGCTCAAGGGTTGTCACATGTCTGTGGTTATAAGGGCTGTCTTGGTACAGGCACACTGCTAGCAGGCATTTGCACAAATCAGTTTGGAGCAATACCTAGGCACACCATCTGCAGACACCTGACCCCGGGTTCTGGGCTTCTGGCTTTCAGAGTTGCGAAGTGCTGATGAGTCCCATAGGTAAGATGGAAGGGCTGATGCTCTGCACGTCTCAAAGCCAGACTCTGCAGCAAGACACAGAGTTTTGCTCTCACTTTCCCTCGAGGCATTTGCTGTTTCCTTCCTACCCCCAACATGGAGCCTGCTATGTGGGGCTATTAGCTTGTAGGCTGCAGCACAGTGCAGACATATTGTACCAGCTTTAAATGATTCAGCCTAGGTGCCAGTAGCAATGTACCTGGGAGCCCTCAGCTCAGTGCTGGAGCTCTGTGCTGGGCTAATCCGACTGCTACCAGGACCCAAGTTAGCTGACTTAAAGCATCCACAGGCTGATTAGGCCAGGCACTGTTAGGCTGAGCTTGTAGGGGTCGTGCCCATCCTACTGGTTTTGCAGAGGCACCTCGGGCCTTGATGTGGCAGCAGCAGGTTTCACAGCCCTGCTCACAGATTTGGGCAGGACTGGGGCAAAGGGGCTGCAGCCCAGGTATAAGTCCCTACCTAGGAGAAAGCCCTGGATACTATAGTTCCTACTAGTGTGTGTTGTAACAGTGCCCAGAGTAGGTAGTGGGGTGGGAGCGTGCCCCCAAGGGCTCCCACTGTTCCTCTTGATTGCTCCAGCATGAGGGCTTCCCTCCAAGCAGCGACCTGGTTCCCTGCGTCTGTCAGCTCAGTTGTTGGCAGCATGACACAGTCTCCCTCAGAGGGACAAGCTGTGTGGGTGGCTTCCCAGCCCGCACTAGGACAGGGCTGGGCTAGAGCAAGCAGTCTCCTTTCAATTAACACTGCTGTCGTGTTCTGGGTTTTTATTGCCATTCACAGGTTCTTTAGTTGACTTAACCATGGAATAGGAACCATGTGTCCCGGGTCTGCCTGTCTCTAGCTGGCGTGACAATGTCTGTGGTCTGGGTTCATTCAAATGTATCTATATTTATATTAAAAGACACTTTTACATTTCTTTCTCCATCTCTTTCTGTTGTGTGAGGTGTGCACTTGTGTGTAGTCTGCCTGCTTGGCCCCCAGGATACCTGAGCTTGTTGAGGTATCCCAAGGTGGCTCTGCAATATAGTGGCATGGGGCAGGAGGTGGAAGATTAGGGGTCTCTTCCCTAGTGCAGGGACTTTGCACAGTCTACCAGAGATCACATGGTTTGAAAGGTGGAAGGAGATTTTTGGTGATGGGCTGGGCTTATTGAGGGGAAGGAGCAAGTAGGGTTTAGTTTAGGAGTGGGGGACTGGCCATTTTTTTGAAAAGCCAAAGATGGCAGCTGGGGTACAGGAGTCAGTATGTCTGTGAGAGGCACTGGGCCTGGTGTAGAAGCTGCCTGGGGGATGTGCCCCACAGGGAGAGTGGTGCTATAGGCAGTACAGAGCAGGAGCTTCCTTCTCCCCTGTGAGGGGAAGGATGCTGGCCCTCAGTGCATGAGGAGTGGCACTGCCTGCAGCCCTTCTCCTGAGACTCAGCAGAGGGGAGCACTGTGGCTCCCCCATGCTCCAGTAAGGCTGGCCCAAGACCCTTTTCTCTGAAGCCAGCCTGTGTCTGAACTGGCTGCAGTCTCTGGTCCACTCCCAGAGGGGAGTTCTTGGGCTCTAGCAGCTCCCACCAACTTCCTGAAGGGGAACTAGGCTTTGCCCAAGATGGTACCTGCCCAGTGTTCTTCCCTACTGCTGCTTCCCTTCCCTCCACCAGCACCAGGGGACCTGTTCCTCCACAAGCCCATCCAGAAGGCCAAGGGAAGTACCAAGGGGCAGCACATGGAGCCATAGTCTTGGGTCTGAAAAAGGAAGGGTTGGTCACCACAGCTGGGTCAGAGAAGCTAGTGGGGAAACAAACCCCACACTCATTTGCTGTGAATGCCCCAGGGTTAGTGGCATGGTGTTCTCTGTGCCCCTTGGGAGCCTGTGGCCTTACTGGGGTGGTTTTGCAAAGTGGTCATCTGGCATCTGCTAGAAGGCACTAGTGGAGAGCCTAAAACATGCTCCTTCCTGGGGCTCACCTGACAGCTGACACTCAGTGGGGGAGGTTGGTCTAGGCTACTTCTCTCTATCCTAAGACAGGCTGTAGGATGGGAACTCCTGCCTGGGCCCAGGCAAGGGCTCTGCTGGGTTGGACTGCAGGGTTCTGGCTCGGCTTGCTTTCAGCGTCCCGCATGGTGGAGGAGGGTGCGAAGCTGACAAGTGAGGCAGTGTGGGAGGCAGATGGTCCATGGAGGGGGATTCTAGTGTCTATACAGAAGGGCAGGGGGTGGGCTGCTGTTTCCAGCTCCCAGTGGGAATGGGGCTGGGGCAGGGTGTTGTGAGCTGGGAACTGCTGGAGTTTCTCAGCCCCAGTGGGTGCTCTCCCAAAGTGGGGCCAGATAATAGCAATTTGGTGTGCTAGCAGAGGAAGAAGGAGACTGGCTGGTCTGGGGAGGTGTCAAGAGTTAAGGTAGGGGATACCTGGGGTCTGTGGTCCACACTGGAAATATACAGTATTAAGGTAGGAGAGATGTGGCCGGGGCGGGGGGAGCTCTAGGCTGACAAGTGAGGGCTGGGCAGGCAGAAGCGTCAGAGTTAAGGCTGTCTGTGGAGTCTGTACTCCTGCCTTGGCAGCGAGCAGAAGACATCCACCACACAGAGAAGGCCTCTGGTGTTGTGGGAATGCAGGTCCCAGCACAGCATTCCTCTCCCTGGGGGCAAGGCAGGAACAGGTAGTAGGGCCTGCACTGGAGGCAGAGAAAGAGCCAAGCAGGTAATTTCCTCTCTTGCCCCTGGCTGGCAGGCAGGAGTGTGGCCTGGGCACACGCATGGGCATTAAAGGGAGATTTTCACTGCAGCATGATTCCCTGGTAAAGGGTATTAAGGGCTTTGCCTGGATTTAGGTTCGACTTTCCCAGCATCACTTGCCCATAATGTAATTAATCTGCTGTCTCATTTACCGGAGCCCAAGCACTCAGCACCCTGCTACACCTTCTGTCTTGTGGGCTCACCATAAGTACATGTGGCCCAGGCAGGGCAGGGTGAACCAGACTGCCATTGCGCATATCTGGGAAGGAGGAAGTGGGGCACCAAGCTAGGAGGCAAAGCTAAGCTTGACTTGGGGTTTTAGAGTCTGGGTGCAGCTCATCCCTTCCAGCAGGTGTGGATCCACCCCTCGATTTCCTTAGATCTGGCAGGAAGCCTAATGGGCACCTGGGGCCTGGCAGCCAGGGAAGAGGCTCTACTCGCCACATGGGAGGCCTGGCCTGGATTTTGGTACCCCTATACTACAACTCATTCTCTGATGCTGCAGGGATGGGGGACATAGTGAACGGGCACTGGGGGTGTCTGTGGACCTAAGAGCTGCCAGCTGCCTCTTTTGGCTTCTCCTCAATGTAGGAGTCATCAAGCTACAGCACTGATGAATCTGACTTTGGCACTTGGCATCCAAACCCTCAGCAACCTGTGAGTATTTCATATAGGTCCTGTTGATGCAAAAGAGCTGTGAAGCCCCTCCTAGGGGAGGTCTGAGCCCAGTCTAGAGCTCCTGCCTGTCTCACCTGCCTTTTCCAGGGTCCTGGCTGTTACTATCCCAGCCTTGATCTCTGGCTTTCTGTGCTCCCAGGGAATTCTTATGCAGTCATAGGGCTCCCTGCATAATATGCTGCTTCGTCTCTGAAGAACTGGGGGTCAGGGGGAGAGCAGGTTTTGTGGGAGCGAGCAGCTTGCTCTATTTTCACACCCAGGCTTCCTGCAGGTTGGCACAGCCTCATCCCTAACCCCTGGAGAGGCCTCTGCTAAGCCTGCTGGGTTGGGGAGTGAGGGGAGGAGGTACTGAGGGGAATCAGCCACTTTTGGCTGGGGAGAGAGGCAGTGATATTATGTTTAAAATGTGCTTGTGAGGCTTGTTCCTGTCACTTATTAGAAAAGGCCATTGTCTGTGCCGCAGCACATCCCCCA